ATCTCGTGCCATCAGATTTTCTTACCAAAATTATATTTCTCCTTTCTGTTTTGGCAAGGCTGTCCCTAATACTTTATTAATGATCACACTATGAAATGTATGGGAAGATGGTGGTATAGCACCACACATTCATATCCAGGGCGTTATATGGAAGTGAGTGGCTAGCTTCACGCTTCGACCGCTTTATCACCTGGGAAATTGCTCCTTTACCAGTTTTATAGGAGGATGGTGTTGTTCAGACTTGGTATACGCGTGGTGACGAAGAGAAGAATTCTTGCTTCTGATCTGGTTAGAAATTAACGACTGTAATTTTATATCAACGATCTGAGGTAATTGTAACTTGGCCTTCGTAAGAGAGATTAGTCATAAACGCAATTTGTCCTCTTTGCGCAGGGTGTATAGATTCTGTTGAATTCAATGAATTCACATTACCGTGTTTGTATAAGGCGGATTTAATACCTCCAAATGCGCATTGCATACCACGCGTGAGTATATTCTGTATTCCGGTACGAACACACTTTCAAATCTTGTTTTTGTGAGCATCGTCAAACAAGCCAACTTCGTAATAGGGACGTTTTATTGTTACTTAGAGACAAGAACTGGATTAAATATTTTGACGAACTTCTTGCTTCAAAGGGTTAATCGTGTGAGAAATGATAACTTGCGTCTATTTATAAATTACCGTATGATGAATGCGCTGCTGCGGTCTGGTTCACCTGATTTGTGCTCATTCCTTTCCGCCTTCCTCTCTCTGTCTTCCCTTCCGTCATGACATAGACCACACCTGTCAGGTCACCCGAGGTCAACAGCATGTATCAAGACGGTTAAATGAGTGATGCGAAAGTCTGGAGGTTTAATTCAAGCTAACTTGACAATCTATCTATCATATTTAAATTAATGCTTCGTAGGTGTGCGCTTTCATACATTTGTACGTTATGACGTCGCTTTGTAATTGAATGCGTGGGAGGGAGACTTCTTTGTTTTTCTGCTTGTGATCAAGGTCGTCCTACTGGCCAAGTATTGGCGTTCTAGGTCACGTTGGAACGGACAGAATGTGAAGGACAGTTTCGTACAATTTGGTTTTTTGTCAATATTTGTACGCCCAAAACCAGGAGGTCAGCAAATTGAATTCGTAAGAGACGTACCTGCGTGGGTGTCATGCATCTACAAGTCTGGTTCTTGGAAAATCGAAATTTCCTTGTTTGATGTTCCATCGTGTGATTATAATTTTCAGCGTCGTGAATACATGGTGCGGAGCCCTTCTTCAGAAGCTTACAGGGAATGGTTAGGTTGGTCATGCCGAAACCTCACCTGAAATTTTGCTCATCTACAGAGCCCATCTAGTAATGATTGTACACAAAATTTTAGCTGCTGAGGCGCTGTACAAGGGTGCGAAAAAATTGCTCAAAGTTTGTATGTATATTTAAAATTACTCACTTTTCATGAAACCCGAAGGTTCATGCTGTATCCACAGGAATCCGCTACTGGTTCCTGTCCTGAGCCCAATGAATACATACCACATTCTTAAAGCCTTTTTTGATTCATTTTATTATTATTCTATTCTCTATACCTGAATACACTAAGTGGCTCATTTCCTTAATGTTTACGTAGGAAGTTATTGTACGCATTTAATATTTAGTCATGCCTATGGAACTTTCACTTGTTCGACTTCTTTGCTTGAAGAATATCGTTTTGCTGACACAATATTAACGTATCAGAAAATACGTACAGCGATTTAGGCTGGGTTGAGACAGACAGAAATTTATTCGAAAATGGCCAAGAAATCAAGCAGCAGTTGTCAGAACTGACAGCTTTTTTCACAGTATCTCCTCGGACGATAAAGGAATCCGCTAACTGCGATATACGAGGTGCGATCGGAAAGTTTCAAGACTGCGCGTATAAAAACCCGTACACTTATCTCAGGTATTAAATTCATCCATCACCCTCGAAGTAGTTCCCCTGGGAGTGA